TGTAGAGTTAAGGTCGACCATTCGCGCTCGGGTGAGAGGTCATAGGTGGAGGGGTACCTTGTTGGGGTGCCTATTTTCAGGGAATCCGACTAATTGGGGGGCCTATATTGGCGGTCCCCGATTTCGTCAACTCCCCTTTTTCGGTTCGATACGTGGCCCAGGAGCTATAGGAGTTTTTTTTGCGTGCAAAGGTTTAGGGTTAGGGCGCTTGTTGAGAGGGCACTCACTTGCACATGTGATCACATTTGAGCAAACCACGTTCTTGCTGGGTCCACTAGAGTCTTGAAAGGGATGTCCTGGACATGGACGAGAAGCATGTCAGACTCAAGGGAGATTGCTAGGGTTACAACTCCTGAAACTTGTTGCCTTGACAAGGGTTTGGTCTTAGGACGGGGGGCCAGGACCCCACGAGCACCCACAGTGACGAGGCCCGTGTTTGCGCCCTTCACGGCGGGCAGACGCGCCGAAGGTGCCACCAGCAAGCCCTAAACTTTAAACCCTAAACCTGAAGAACCCAACCCCTACTTATTTGTAGGTCGCCTAAGAATCCAACAAGGTTATAACAATAAGAACCACACACGGCCTTTCCCCCTGCTTGCTCAGAACCTACCAAAAAATCAGCATTTCGGTTCTTAAGGTAAACCCTACACCCTTGTAAACCTTTGCAAACCCTTGTAACCCCCTGTAAACCCCCTGTAAACCCTTGTGAACCTTTGAAAACCCTTGTGCTTAAACCATTGTCAACCCTTAACCCTAAATCCGACCCAACCCCTGGCGTGCCCTGCTCCCCCGCCCGCTGCCCGCAAGTTCGAAAGGGAGGCCCGAACATCCTGAAGCCTGGGAACGCGGATTAGAGTTTAGCTTTTAGGGTTTATAGGGTCTGGGGTTTAGGGTTTACTTTTTGGGGTAGGTTGAAGGGCTTGGGGCTTAAGGTTTTGGATTTTTAGGGTTTTCTAGGGTTTAGAGTTTCCGGGCCGAGCATGTAGGTTTTGGGATTCGAACTAGTTGACGAATCTACCGTCTCCCTTTCCCATCATTGCTGCAACCGGGGCAAAAGGGGATACTCTTATGTAAAGCCTGAGCAAGCCCCGAGCTGCGACTCACTCCAGAGCATGCCCAGCAAGACCGAAAGAAGCGAAGACGGCATTCTAGGGTTTAGGGTTTAGGGTTTAGGGTTTAGGGTCGACATCATCCGGACAAGGGAGACGCTGCAGTACGCTGGCTGAGGCTCCAGGCTGCGCATCTCAATGGCCTAAGATGTTGGCGAAAAAGGTTGACCAAGCCGGAGAAGACCCTCTGAGCAAAGCCAGAGGTCGTTTGGCTGCTACCAAGAACCCTAAACCCTAAACCCTAAACCCTAAACCCTAAACCCTAAACCCTAAACCCTAAACCCTAAACCCTAAACCCTAAACCCTAAACCCTAAACCCTAAAGCCTAAAGCCTAAAGCCTAAAGCCTAAAGCCTAAAGCCTAAAGCCTAAAGCCTAAAGCCTACAGCCTAAAGCCTAAAGCCTAAAGCCTAAAGCCTAAAGCCTAAAGCCTAAAGCCTAAAGCCTAAAGCCTAAAGCCTAAAGCCTAAAGCCTAAAGCCTAAAGCCTGTATGTTCGCCCAGCATCTTGAGGATGGCGCAAATAGCGCACATGCAAAGGCTCGCCTTAACCCAGATCCAGAGCCACGCCAACCCTGCCCGCTGGTCTCTAGTGCACCATGTTGCTGATCAAACCCTAAACCCTAAACCCTAAACCCTAAACCATGTTGCTATATCCCCCTTTGGAATTATTTTTCATTTTGTGAATATAAAACCCAAGAGATGTTAAAAGTGTTTTTTTATTGAGGTTCTAAGGGGAGTATAGGTTGCTGATAGCCCTAAACCCTATCAACCCTGTATATGTCGCGCCCCAAGCCCATCCCCCCCCCCCCTTCGGGTTTAGGGTTGGGTCATGCATCAATATATATATATATACATATACATATACATATATATATATATATATATACGTATACATGGAAATATCTAGGTATCATTTTGTTATGAGCTTGTGCATGTATTTGTTCTACTCAGAATCCCACAGCTAACTAACCATGAGCGTTTCAAGTACTTCTTCGACTCTCACTAAGCGCCCTCCCTCCATCAAAGGCCTCCCTACAGGGCTGCGTGTTGCATGAATAAATGCGTGCTGCCTCACGACGCGCACCTCACACTCGTGCTCGTGGGAGGTGGACGCGTGCAATCGAGACCCTAAGCCTAAACCCTAAACCTGCTCCCTGAGGCAGCAGGCTCTAGACACCACAAGAATCCCATAACCTCCCACAAGCCGCATCGCCGTAGACCCCCCCCCAAAAAAAAACAAAAAACCTTACAGCAAGCCTAGGCCACTAACTAAGCCCCGCCCTAAACCCTAAACCCCAAACCTTAAACCCCAAACCCTAAACCCCAAACCCTAAACCCTAACCCCCAAACCCGAACCCCTACACTCCAACCCCCAAACCCTAAACCCCAA